AATTGGCCAATAGTGAATACTGAAGCTTGCATTTCTAATGAAAGTATTAATGTTAAAACTGCTCAATCCAGTTTACCATCAACATCATCTATTGTTTTAGGGGAAATCCCTATTGTGAGTTTACCATCAAAATCATTTATTGTTTCACCTGAGATAATACGACCTCATCCTAAAGCCAAGTTAAGAAAAACAAATACTTCAAAAAGACGTAAGGGAAAATCACGTATTTTAACTGATACACCTGAAATTAAAGTTATTTTAGATGCAAAATCTAATAACCAACAATTGAAAAAGTCCTCTTCATGCAAAAGAAAAAAAATGGCAAAACAGATTATTTTTAGTCAGTCTGACATGTGTTTAAATAATGAAAGCTCTGATGAAATTGATTTTGGAGTAAATATACTTCATGATGAAAGTGAAATTGTTTCTGGAAGTTTTTTGTCAAGTTTTGAATTGTCAAGTTGGTCGGAAAGAAATACTCTAGACTTTATGTAGCAGAAGTTATAGAAGTTGTTGGTATAGTTTACAAAATTAAGTATCTTAAGAAATCAGGAGACTTTTGTAACAAATTTATAAGAGAAGATGACAATCTTTATGAAGTGGAACTTGAAGATATTATGAAACTTCCACCACCAAGTATTGGTGGTGGTTCATCTAAACGTCAGTATCTTATATTTGATGTTGATCTGACTATTTGTAATAATTAATATATTATACTCTTTTATTATTGTTTTTTTTTTGTTGTCACCATCAAAATATTTCCTTTAAAAAGCATTATGATCATATCTAAATGAATATAGACCGCCAGCTGATATAAGCTATAAAAATCTATTTCTGCTCTTTTCTTATCTTAAATAATAAAAATAACTATAGATATTAGAAAACATATTTTGTACAACTAAATCGCATTTAAAGTTTTGGGCCTTAACCCTAAATAATTCATGTAAGTAGCATCTAACTGAAAAAAATATGTGACATTATCTAAATAGTTATAATAACTGATTTTATTTTAAAAAATTAGTAACACTATTAGTAATACTGACTGAGTATCGTAACTTCGATAAACGAGTCTTGGCAATATTGTAAGGATTTTTTTAGACAATTAGGATTGGTTACAAAATAATAAAATTTGTTTTTTTATTGACAAAGGTAGGCCAGAAGTTGCTATATATCATATAACAAGCTAAAATATTAAAGAGGTCCAAACATTGCATGATTGTTTAATAATAACAGTTTGGTCAAAGGTACAACGCGCATCGGTCAAAGGTACAACATATGTGTTGTACCTTTGACCAATAGACTTCTTTTTTTAAAACGCGGGAAAAAGATACTTCTTAGTCGAATGAAAAAAAAGTCCTAAGTATAATTTTTTTGGCAAAATATGAGAGAATATTATATAGTTTAAATGGTTTAAGTTTACTCAATAGACTACGCAAAAAACGCCTTAAAGCAAAAAGTGGTCAAAGGTACAACAGGTTTCCCTACGTTTAATTGACATTACAATATAGATTACAATAGTTGCTAACAGCAACATTAAATAATTATCACTTCCTGTTTGTTTTTTTAAAAAAATTATATTTTGTTGTTATAATAACAAAAACAGCACTACTGATATATATATATATATATATATATATATATATATATATATATATATATATATATATATATATATATATATATATATATACTTATATATATACTTATATATATATATATATATATATATATATATATATATATATATATATATATATATATATATATATATATATATATATATATATATATATATATATATATACGTATATATATATATATTTATATATATATATATATATATATATATATATATATATATATATATATATATATATATATATATATATATATATATATATATATATATATATATATATATATATATATATATATATATATATACCTAACACTAACTTTATCAAGAGTTTGACCTCATGAAAAGAGCATTTTAGAGTCTTTTAGAGTCACCATCTTTTAGTCTTTTAGAGTCTAAAAAATTAAAATTATTACTAATTATTACTTATTACTAATTAAGTTGATTAAGCAACCGTCATTAAGTTGATGAAGCATCGTCAATAAAAAATTAAAATTATTACTAATTATTACTTATTACTAATTAAATTAATGAAGCAAAGTTTTCGATCTTATTACTGATTAAACAGATATTAACAGATTCAAGAGTACCTCATGATTTTACACTGAGTTTGTAAATTGTCTCCCATAATGGCTGATTTTGGCTTATATTTGCGGTAAGGGATCGTCTATTACTTACGCAACGCAAATCTTATTTATACAAAATTAAGTTAAAACTAAAAGATCATTTTGCTCTTTTGCGCGGCGGTTTTTGCTGGACTTGAAAGGTTGTTTATATTCTTGGTTTAATTAAAAACTTTTATTTTTATTTTTTATTAGGTGCCTCAAGAAGCCCTAACGGTCTTGTCACAAAGCACCGCGGAAGTGCATTTTACCAGGAAGTTCACGCCTCCTTCCTTACCGTGACGCAAAAATATGTCCAGAGCTTGTTTCAAACCTGGATCTCCTGCTTATAAAGCAAGCGCTTTAACCACTGCGCCACGGCCTGTCACGGAGAAAACGGTCCGCCGGAGTAAACTGTCCGGCCGGACTGTTTACTCCGGAGTAGAATGTCCTACATTGGAGTAAATTGTCCTACTTAAATAATTAGCGGCTGATTTTGTACCAATAATTGGTACAAAATCAAAAAATTGGTACGAAATCAGTACAAAATTTTGTACCAATAATTGGTACAAAATCAGCCGTGATTATAAGATTATATATTAGCTATAATTAATATTGTTCGATTTAAAATAAATTATTATTATAAAATATCAAAAATCATTTTAAAAATGGATGAACAGAAGAATAATTATGAAGAAATGATGCTTGCTGATGTTAATAACTATTTATCTAAATCTGCTTATCGTCATGACTGCACCCTAAATGATAAGCAGACAATTAGACGAAAAGCAAAAAGGTAAAGATTGTAAAAGTTAAGATGCTATGTTTGTATTATTACTAGTACATAGTTATAATTTCTAACTATGTTACTATGTAACTAGTAACTCACTATTTTTAAAACAGTGATTTACTAGTAACTCAACTAGTCTAGTTAGTCTAGAGTTACTAGTGAGTCACTATTTTACTCACATTAAATGTGAGTAAAATAATTTTACTCGCATTTAATGTGAGTAAAATGGTGAGTTGAAATAGACTCGCAATAAAGTAATTTGACATAACTGTATTGCGTATGTATAATGTATATACATATATATATATGTAAATCGTAACCTATATATGTATATACATTATATATGCATATATATAATGTATATACATATATAGGGGAAACTGGGGTACTTGGTAATTGGTATAGGGGTACTATATAGGGGTACTATATAGGGGGTACTGGGGTACTAGGTAAAATGGGGTACTTTAGAATGAAACCCTATAAAAGTCACAAAAATAAATAAAATGATTACAAATAAATGTTGAAACATCAGAATACAACAGACAACATTGTAACAAAACAGCAAGTCAAAAGAATGTAAATTAATTGATTTATTACATTTTTTATAAAATAACATAAAAACCCCATTTTACCCCAAGCATGGGGCAAAACAGGGTAATGGATGGGGCAAAATGGGGTCAAAGGAGGAACTCAAACAAATATGATAAATCAATCACTGCTAGTACAAATATAATCAATCACTGCTAGTACAAATATAATCAATCACTGCTAGTACATAGCTCACACAAAAAGTAAGGTTTTTTGTTTCTTTCATCAATGCCTGCACAAGAATAATGGGCCCAAAAAATAAAGAAAACTTAAATTAAATGTTTTTTTCTTTATAACAGGACTTCAAAAAGCTTAATTATCTTGATACTTTGCATACTTTTTGCACAATATTTATTTTTTTACTTCTAATTTGGATTCGATTTCTTAAAAATGTGTTATGAAACCGCAAACACGAAACCAATATTTAAAAATATTTTCTGATAACGCTTCATTTATTTATCTGGTTATTTTCCTGTTATGGCCATACCATTATTGCTAAAGCAATCCAATTTTGACCAATTGAGCTATGTAGGCGTTAGTCCATAAAGAAGCCAATCCTTGTTGTTTGTAACCTATTTAGTTTTGACTTGAAACAATTTAGGGAAGTGACTGTTACAGTATTGTTATTAAGTAAGTTCCAGCGGTTGACTACATGTTCCGATAAGATATATTGTCTGACCACAGTTGTAAATCTATGCTTAATGAGTGTAAGTGGGTGACCTCTTTCTTTTATTCTTTTGTTTGTAGCTAATTCAAAAAAAAGTTTTTATGAAATTTAGTAGGCAACTCATTCAGCTGCTTGTATACTTCTATTAAGTCTGATCTAGTTCTTCTTTCCTCAAGTGTCCATACACCTAATTTAAGTATTCTGTCTGCATAAGATCGATGTTGCACTTCATTATTATATTACTCTTATCTTATCTTGCATTATTATTTTACTAAAATGATGTTGTATTTTTTCAATTAGTTCTTTTTCTTTGATATAAAACTATCAAAGATGTCACTTCAGATACAGAGATGACTGTCACTTAACCTGTGTGGTTTTTTAGTTATTTTAACTTTGTTTTTTCATATTTTAGATGGTTTTTTTTGTTTAGCATATATTTTTAAGCAAAATTTGTTTTCATTATTATTTACTGGTAGTATTTATGAATATCTTTATGAAAAAAATGTTTTGCAAACAATCTAAAATTTAAATAGATTAGAAAATATTTAATAACATTTAGAACAATTAATCTTTTAATGAAAATTAGATACATATTTGGCTTCGTAAGTTTGTCCATTTTAATATGTGTTTCTGACATATTTATTTAAGAGGTTTGAAAAAATCCTAATTCTTATGTTGATTTGTTTTTAAATTTGTTACTATTGCATTCTTCATACAATGGAAGGAGTATGTTTAATAGTTTTTGGAACATTTTCCTACCCAACGCAAGCTTATTTAACCACCCCCCCCCCCCATATTGATAGCGTGAAATTTGTTGAAAGAAATCTTGATAACGTAGAATTTGTTGAAAGTAATCTTGATAGCGTAGAATTTGTTGAAAGTCATGTTGATAGTGTAGAATATGTTGAAAGTCATGTTGATAGCGTAGAATTTATTGAAAGTCATTTTGATAGCGTAGAATTTGTTGAAAGTCATGTTGATAGCGTAGAATTAGTTGAAAGTCATCTTGATAGTGTAGAATTTGTTGAAAGCCATGTTGATAGTGTAGAATTTGTTGAAAGTCATCTTGATAGCGTAGAATTTGTTGAAAGTCATCTTGATAGCGTAGAATTTGTTGAAAGTCATGTTGATAGTGTAGAATATGTTGAAAGTCATGTTGATAGCGTAGAATTTATTGAAAGTCATTTTGATAGCGTAGAATTTGTTGAAAGTCATGTTGATAGCGTAGAATTAGTTGAAAGTCATCTTGATAGTGTAGAATTTGTTGAAAGCCATGTTGATAGTGTAGAATTTGTTGAAAGTCATCTTGATAGCGTAGAATTTGTTGAAAGTCATCTTGATAGCGTAGAATTTGTTGAAAGTCATCTTGATAGCGTAGAATTTGTTGAAAGTCATGTTGATAGCGTAGAATTTGTTAAAAGTCATGTTGGTAGCGTAGAATTTAT